TATAATTCTGCTTCTGTGATTTTCGTTGGGTGTTTAGCTCAGTTGGTAGAGCGGCGCCCTTACAAGGCGTAGGTCGGGAGTTCGAGCCTCTCAACACCCACCACACAACGAAGTTCAAAAATAGGAGTGGTAGTTCAGTTGGTTAGAATACCGGCCTGTCACGCCGGGGGTCGCGGGTTCGAGTCCCGTCCATTCCGCCAGACAAAGCGAGTTTTAAGTCGATCTTAAAGCTCGCTTTTTTATCGTATAAAAGTACTTGTTCCAATTCTAAGTCAAACGTGTAATTTGTCACTCCTCCTAGCCTTACTATGGTAATGTCTTCGTCGTCGTTTCGCTTACATCTTTGCTTAGAAGTAAAATTAAATCCTGCGACAGTCCATAAGACATAGTATAATTGACGGTTAAGTTTAGCTTTAAATATGCAGGCTCATTTTGACAGCATATTATTTAATACAGTCGTAAAAACAACTATTCCTAGGTGGTGTCTCTTATGTCGGATTTTTTTGATAAGATTCGTGATAATCAAAAATTAGTTCAGCTCGTATTGATCGGGTTGACCGTGCCTTTCTTATTTTTTGGGCTCGATAGCTATACGAATTTATTCGACCATGCAGGTGAGGTCGCTAAAGTAGGAGATACAGCGATTACTCGACCGCAGTTAGATAATGCAGTTAAGCAGGAGTTAGATATAGCTTCACAACAAAGTCGTGAGCCTTTACCAGATGGCATGGCCAATGATCCGACGTTCCGTCAACAAGTGCTTAATAAACTCATTTCTTTTCAAGCGAGTGAAGAAGATGCAAAAAAAATGTATTTGACGGCTAATCAATCACAAATCGTTAAATCGTTGCAAAAAACTCCAGGATTTAGTGAAAAATATATCTTACCGACTGGTGAAATCAACATTGAATTGTTAGAAAAAGATTTGCGCGATCGTGGGTCATCTATTGTTGAATTTGAAGATGGTCAGCGAAGAGAGTTGATTGCCTCTCAACGTGGTGAGGCAATTACATTGTCTGGTTTTATGCCTAAAGACTCGGCCTCTTCTTTAATAACAGCAGTTTCTCAGCAAAGAGATATTGCTGCGTATTTAATCAAAGATGATGATGTTTTAGGGGAAATCAAAGTTGATGATAAGGCGGTTGAGACCTATTACACCAAGAACATTGATCGTTATAAAGTTCCTGCGATGGTCGATGTTAATTATATCGTATTAGATGAGCAGTCGGCTAAAGCCGGTGTGCAGGTGTCAGATGCTGAAGTTAAACAATACTATGAAAGCAATCTTTCTAGATATCAAGAAAAGTCACCGCGCCCTGTACGACATATTTTAGTTTCCGTTGACGCTGCAAAGGGAATTCCTGATAAGGCTGCAGCTAAGAAAAAGGCAGAAGAATATTTAGCCATTGTCAAAAAAGATCCTAGTCAGTTTGCGGCAGTAGCCAAAAAATATTCTCAAGATCCAGGTTCAGCGGTCAATGGTGGGGATTTAGGAGTGGTGAGCGCAGGGCAAATGGTTAAACCATTTGAAGATGCAGTTTTTTCTTTGAAAAAAAATGAAATTAGCGGTTTAGTAGAAAGTGATTACGGTTATCACATTATTGAGGTGATGGATGCCCCAGCTGTGAAACAAACGCCGTTATCTGCTGTTTCCGCGGAAATTCGTGCGCAACTCTTAAAAGAAAAAGGCTCGAATGATCTCGCTAAAAAAGCGCAAAGCCTAATTGATGCTGCTAAAAGTCAGTCAAAATCTATTGATTCATTAGCTAAAGAGTTTAACTTGCCAGTTTTAAGTGCCAAAAATCTGTCTGCCAATGGCAGTAAAGAGCTTGACCCAAAAAATCCATTAAATAGCCCTATGGTTTTATCCTCTGTTTTTTCTGATGAGGTGGCTAAGGGTGGGAAAACAACGCAAGCATTAACACCTGCTCCCAATATGTTGGTGGTTGCTCAAGTATCTCGTTTTAATCCAGAAGTTAAACGTTCTTTGGCTGAGGTGCGTGATACAGCTACAGTTGATTGGAAGCGTACTCAAGCTCATACGTATATTGTTAAAAAGGCGACCGAGTGGTTATCAGATCCTGCTAAATTGTCTGGAGTACGTTTTGGTGAAGTGACGAAAGTGGGGCGTATGGATCCAACTTTAGATAGAAAAGCTGCTGACAAAATTTTCATGGTGCCTGCTAAATCTTTACCTGCCTACACAGGTGTTGATTTGGGTTCTGCGGGATATGCAATCTATAAAGTGGTTGCAGTAAATGACACACAACCTACTGACCCACAAAGAAAAGAACAAGAAATGCTTGCTTTGGATGGTTTGTACAGTAGGGCGCTTTTAAATGCTAGCTCGAGTTGGGCAAAAGATGCGGTTGGTGTGAAAATTTATCAAGAGAATGTTTCAAGCGGTCTAGATACAACTAGCAGTACAAATCAATTGCCATAACAAAAGTAAGCTTCATGCTTTCAACATAGGTTAGTCCAGTGGTGTGACATCATATGATCATCAATTTGAGATGGTTTATTGCTCGCAAAAGGCTTACTTGATAATAGTTATTCCATTTCTAAGTCAAAGGTGTAAGCGAAACGACGACGAAGACATTCCTGTAGTAAGGCTAAGAGGAGTGACAATTGCACGTTTGACTTAGAATTGGAATTAGGTGAGCGTTTTGGTAGAGTTAGAAACTGGGTTTTATGTTTTATCATGGCTTGCTGAGGTCATTAACAACCTGATTTACTAGCCTGTTGATTATAAGCATCCAACATGTTTTTGCAGCTTTTTTCCATCTGGTCATAAGGTGTAGCAGCCCAGCGTGCTCGGCGGACTTTATCCTCATGGTCTAATTCTGCTTGCATTTCAAGGCTTGGCGTATGTTTTTTTATGCATGCCAAGCTCTTGATGAGAAATTCATCACAAATTGGCGGAATTTTTTGAACAGTTTGTTGGGCTGTTTGTGGTTCAGATGTAATTTCTATTTTATCGCAAGCAACAGAGATATTTGCTAGCACCAAAATCAAAAAAAGTCGTTTTTTATTCATGGATTAAATAGGGGAGAAGGTCGGTTTCAAACTGACGTTGTCGCCTATGACGGCAACGTTACTGATTTATGATCGTGAATATATCATATAGCCATTATGTGAGAGTGGACTATTTTCTTGCTTGTCGCATATGCTGTGCCTGTGCTGTGAGCTTTCTTGCCATTTTAGGATCTACAATGAGTGGTGCATAGACTTCGATTCTATCGTAGGCTTTGAGTATGGTATCAGATTTGCAACGCCTTCCAAAAATTCCTAAGGTATCGGTCGTTTTGAGCGGTGGGATCAGAGGATGTTGTTGCTGCGCATAAAAAAAAGCTTGCTCTACGGTACACTGTTCTGGAACAGATAGCATTTTAATATGCAAAGGTTGCGTTGGACTGACAAAAAATATTTCAATGATCATGTGGCTGTTGACGCTAGCTTTTGGTTATGACCCGTAAATTGTTTTTGCTCGAGTGACGAATGCTTCAACGTATTGCCCAATTAAGCTCTGAATGACGGGGCCGACCATTTTTTCCACAAAAAAATTATTAAATTCATAGTCAAGGTTAAAATTGATTTTACAAGAATTTTCTTCAATTTTTTCAATACGCCAACAACCTTCTAACTTTTTAAAAGGGCCCTCCTTGAGTCGAAAAAGGATAGATTCAGGAGGATTGTTTTGGTTTTGTGTTGCAAATGAAACGGTGGCACCCTTATAGGATGCGTAAAGTTTGGCCGTCAGGTTATTGCCATTGTTTTCTATAATTTTAACTTTTTGACACCACGGAAGAAATTCTGGATATTGCTCTATATTGCTAATGAGATGATAGAGCTTATCTTGAGAATAAGGGAGTAGAAAAGATTTTTCAATATTGGCCATGGTGTTAGAAATTAAATATGAATAGCTATCTATTGTATCTAAAAACAGTGAGATCAGTTAAAATAGTCGTCTCAAGAAAGTAAATATTATGAGTACAATCATTGATAACAAAAAGGCGCGCTTTGATTATTTTATTGAAGATCGTTATGAAGCAGGGATGGTTTTAGAAGGCTGGGAAGTTAAGGCTATCCGAGCTGGTCGTGTGCAGATTAAAGAATCCTATATTTATGTACGAAATGCTGAACTGTTTTTAATTGGGTGTCACATTAGTCCACTGGTATCTGCGTCTACACATGTTGCTACTAATCCAACGCGTACTCGAAAATTACTTCTCAATCAAGATGAAATTAGCAAATTGATTGGGAAAGTCGAAAGGCGTGGCTATACTCTCGTGCCACTAAATCTTCATTTTACTAGAGGTCGTATTAAGTGTGAAGTTGGTTTAGCCAAAGGCAAAAATACACACGACAAACGTGATACTGATAAAAAGCGCGATTGGGAACGTGAAAAGTCGCGGTTGCTCAAACAAAATTAATGTGTCACACGATAGCCCTTCAGTCACTTTTTTGATAATTATTTTCAATCAATTGCTAGAGAATATGCATATTTTGTGGTATATTGCGATGCAGCATCTATAATAAATAGTCCAGATATGTAAAAAGTGTTTGACAATAAGTATAATGTATAAATATTATTAATATTGAATGAGTTATGGTTGATTATCCAAAATTAAATTCCAATTTCTTGCGCGAAGAGGCGGAAACTCATGTTATTCGAAAATATCAAAACCGTCGCTTATATGACACAAAAAGAAGTCAATATGTGACACTTGATGAAATTCGCTTGATGATTCAAAAGATGGTTTCTGTGAAGGTTGTGGACGCGAAAACGAATGAGGATATTACCCGAAGTATATTAATTGGGATTATCGCAGAGCAAGAGCTAACAGATCAAGCTATGATCCCAGAAGGCTTAGCAACGCTGTTTTTGCGTTTATATGGTAATGAGCATTTTAGAGATCTGATTTTAATCTTTTTAGAACGTAATTTGTCGATGTTTTGGGAGTTGCAAGATCGACTGGGTAATCAAGCCGATCAAGCCATTGCCGTGACCATTGATAAAAATTTGTGGTCACATTTCGTGAATGTGCAAGGTATGCTGATGGAAAACATGATTAATAGCTACTTAGATCAAAGTTCTGAGTTGTTGGGGCAATTGGAACGTAACATTAAACAAAATGCACAAATTTTGGCTGATGCCTTTGCCCCGAATACCTTGAAAAAGGTCATTACTGAAAATAATCAATCTTCGTAGGTTTATTGTGTCAGACAGTCTGAATTTATCATTTCGTCCAAAAATTGGTTTTGTATCATTGGGTTGCCCTAAGGCAACCGTGGATTCAGAAAAAATCCTTACCACACTGAAAAGAGATGGTTATGAAATTGTGAACCAATATGATGCTGCCGATCTAGTGATTGTCAACACTTGTGGTTTTATTGACCAAGCTGTACAAGAAAGTTTAGACACCATAGGTGAGGCGCTCCATGCTAATGGTAAGGTGATTGTCACAGGGTGTTTAGGTGCAAAGCAGGATCAATCGGGGCAGACGCTTGTTTCTCAGGTGCATCCCAAGGTATTGGCCGTTACAGGGCCAAACCAATTGGGTGCGGTGATGGATGCTGTGCATAAACATTTACCCAGCAACGCTTCATGGATACCAGAAAACGAGGATGAATGGCGTGTGCAGTTAACACCTCGTCATTATGCTTATTTAAAAATTTCAGAGGGCTGCAATCAGAGTTGCACTTTTTGTATTATTCCCTCAATGCGTGGTGGTTTGGTGTCACGACCTCTTGTAGACGTGTTAGATGAGGCAAAGCAATTGCTTGATCAAGGCGTTAAGGAAATTTTAGTGGTTTCCCAAGATACTGGTGCGTATGGGGTCGATGTCAAACATAAAACAGTTTTTTGGAATGGTAAACCGATCAAAACGCATATTTTTGATTTGGCAGCTACTCTAGGGGAGTTGGCTCGCCCATATGGCGCTTGGGTGAGATTACATTATTTGTATCCTTATCCACATATGGATCACCTGTTACCTTTGATGACACAAGGAGTTATACTGCCGTATTTTGATATGCCTTTTCAGCATGCGGATATTCATGTTTTAAAACAAATGAAACGGCCTGCTCAAATCGAAAAACAAATAGAACGTATTCAAAATTGGAGAGTGATGTGTCCTGATTTGGTGATTCGAAGCACTTTTATTGTTGGTTTTCCTGGGGAAACTGAGCAAGCATTTGAAAATTTACTACAATTTTTGCGGCAGGCTCAGTTGGATCGAGTTGGCTGTTTTCCTTATTCTGCGGTAGAAGGAGCACAAGCGAACGATTTGCCCAATCCCGTACCTGAAACCGTTAAGTTGGCACGCCAAGAAGCGTTCATGGCATTAGCAAGCGAGATTTCTACTGCACGATTGCAGTTGAAAGTTGGTAAACGTTGTAAGGTCATTATCGATCAAGTCAGTGCACAAGGTGGTATAGGACGTACGATGGGAGATGCTCCAGAGATTGATGGAGTTGTTTATATTCAACCAGCAACAAAGGCCTCTAAACGTTATCGAGTGGGAGATATTGTCAGTGTACAAATCATAGGTAGTCAAGTACATGATTTGATTGCTCAGGTGGTTTAGTGTGGTCAATAGAAATATTTTGATGTGGTTTTTGCAAATGATGAACAATAACATCACATAAACCAATAGATGGTTATTTTAAGAAAGTCATGTTTATGAAATACATACGCTGGATTTTTTTGTTGATTGTCGTCATGTGCTTAGTGAGTTTAGCAGGCGCATTAATTGGACAATATGTTTATAATCTTTGGCCTTGTCCGTGGTGTGTACTGATTCGGATAGAGACAGTCTTAATTATGTTATTTTGTCTCATCGTGTTCATATTTTTTTCGAACAAGATTATTTTCTGGTTTGGAAGTACGACGGCTTTATGCTTGAGCTTTGCTGGGCTGGCTTCTTCTGCTTGGATGCAGTGGGGAAACGTTAAGGGAACGTGTGAGCTTTCTTTGGCTGATCACATCATTACTTTCACGAAAATTGATCGTTTATGGCCAGATGTCTTTGGCGTTTTTGGAATGTGTGGTGACTTAACGCCCTTTTTTGGTTTGTCTTTCCCAATGTGGGGGGTGGTTTCGTTTATCATAATGATTGTATTGATTATTTATGCGATGGTGCAGTACGCCATGGTCGTTAAGCATCATTTCTAAAATTCATTTTAAGGTTGTCCAAAGTGTATCGACCAGTCTATGCAGTAGGAGATGTTCAAGGGTGTCTGAATGCGTTGCAGCGTTTGCAGGCCAAGTTACCTCATCAACACCATTTGATGTACTGTGGTGATGTCGTTAACCGTGGTGAAGATTCGTTGGGGGTTTTAAGACTTTTGGTGCAACAAAATGCACAAATTGTTCTTGGAAATCATGATATTCATTTGCTTAGGCCAACCGACCTTTGCTCAGTCCATCACCCCTACTGATATTTTGGCTCTTTCAAGACAAAAGTCTCACCAAGTCGATTTAGAATTTTTCGGGTTTACCCTCAAGTATGGGGGTGCCCGCAAAGAGGGGGGCTGGCTCTATAGGTATACCAAACGCAAAACACATGAAGAGTTTTGGATTTATTCCGATGAGAACAACACCATTACATCTATGACTTACGTTACAGCCAGCTCAAAAAGAACTCAACAGTTTATGACCTTGCTGGCAAAAACACCTTCCATCAAAAACGATCGACTCCTTAAGTTTTACAAAGAATCATCCGTACAAATCCTGATTCTTAAGCACAGATCAAACTAACACTAAACCAATTTAATCCCAACTCAAAATATTAAATCTAGGCTAAGTAGGGTCTACACTTCCAGTAACAGGGTGATAATGAAGAGGAGCTTCTTGATGACCTTTGACTTGGACAGCTTGGCTTAACTGTCTAGAGTGGTTAAGTGGGTAGGCGGTCAATTGCTGCCCCCACACGCAGCCAGTGTCCAATATAATATTCTTTTCAGTTACATACAATCCCAGTGATGACCAGTGTCCAGAAACGATCGTGAGATTTTCTGTTTTACGCTGGATTTTTTTGTTGATTGTCGTCATGTGCTTAGTGAGTTTAGCAGGCGCATTAATTGGACAATATGTTTATAATCTTTGGCCTTGTCCGTGGTGTGTACTGATTCGGATAGAGACAGTCTT